AGATACTTTGTATCACTGCAAATAAGCAGTCTTCAATAAGCACTTTTCTCTGACTTTTCTTTGTCTGCTTTACTGCTATGTCCTGTTCAGAATTTTTTAATTGTTTATTTAATGCCTACTGGTGCAAATGCCTGACACCCTGAGAAAGCTGAGCAAATATTCCTCAACCTATGGAACAGACCATTTTGAAGCAGAGTGCACAACACTATAAGGGGTAGAAGCTCTGATGGTTGTGCAACCAGCAAACATCACTTTTGCAAGGAGCAACTATGACCAAGTAACTGGTCAATGGTGGGCAAGGAAGCAGATGCTGAGTATGCAGAACTCTCCCTCCCAAAAGAGAAAAGCAGCCCTTCCCCTCAGACAGTGACACAGGACAGTGACCCGTGTCCACCACTGCCAGCCAATACACAGCCCATTCCCATCTTGCTTACACTAAGGCTGTTAACATCCATTCTCTCTGTAATCAGAGGGTGTGATGACACAGGAAATCAGAGGTCAGGTAAAGTAATCCAGAGGACTCTAAAAATAAACCCAAATTAGAACCCAACATTTCTGTAATACATAGTAGCAGGTAGGCAGAACTCCCATTGCAATAGCAACTGCATCACTGGGGTGATACAGCCCAAGAGTGGGCACTGTCAGAAGGCTGCTTTCAGTTCTGTGCCTCACAAAAACCACAGACAGCATTGAAGCAGAAGAGAAAATGAAGTTAAGAAAGAAAACCACACCACCAGCAGAAGCTGAAACTGAAGAATGCCATATTGCACATCTCCTACTCCAGAAGCAAACAGAAGCTGCACTACTGAAGTTTGTTAAGGTGATCTAGTATGACCATTTGGATTTCTGCTTCATACAAAAATGTAGGATTGTGTATAAATGTCCAAAGCTTACCTGTTCTTCCAACACATCATGCTAGCAGAACTACAAGGATCCCATTGTTCCCTTCAGCTGCAGGGCAAGAATCCAACCCACTCAAGGGATAAACTGGCTGTCTCCAGTGGAAGCCACACACACCAATATGCTGCAGCCTCAAGAGGGACCAGCCTTTTGGCTCTGCTGGCTCAGAAACAGTAATCCACAGCTTCCTCATGAAAGTAAGCATTTAAGCCTGTAAAACTTCAGCTTATCCAACGTCAAGGAAACTTATGAAAAAAAATTACATGAGGTCTAGCATTAGAAAACATCAGTATTTTCTGTCTAGGTACTGAACCTTTACCAGAGTATTGTTACAAAACCAAATGCAAGGATCTATTTCAGTTTCAAAATTTTTGTTGTTGGCATTGTGCGTCTTGGTCACACAAGGTACGGTGCAACCTTGGTGTGGGTCCATGAACATTCAGTGTTAAAACCCTTATTTCATAAAGCTTGATTCACTCACAGCATTGGAATAGTTCTAGTTTGGTGCAAACCTAGTAGAGTCATTCTCATGCGAAATCTGATTAACAGCAGTAGGAACTGGGATTGTTCTCACCAATCAATTCCTAAAGACCATTTCCTCCAAGTAAGTCAGACTCATAAGAAAAACTTCCTGAGTTTTCATATAATAAATCTTGGGATTGTAGTTCCTGCCAAACCTGCCTTATTTGCTGTCCATCTGCTCTACTTTGTTTCACTGAGAAAATTCAATTCAGAAAAATGAACTTGCTACATCACTAGACTTTGCTTTCTTCTACCTATACTTTGCTCCCATTTCAGACATCAGCAGCCAGCACAAACAACAGCTCTAGTCAGTCCACCTCACTTGTCCCAAGTGATGGAAAACTTCACTTGCAAACGAACACAAGCATGTCTGCAGGTTACTCATACAGTGGCTATGACAGCCAAAGCCCCTGGAACAGTCAAGAGTTTGCTCATACAGCTTAAAGCTGGATGATACAAATTACCAGCACCTATTTCTGAAGAAGTGGCTCATGTTAGTCCCTCTTGTCCTTTTCCTTCAACAGATTACCTTAGTTATCAATTATACTGTGACAAAACTGGGAAAGGAAACTGAAATTTTGCATTGAATGCCCATGTTTCAATCAAGAGAGTTTAAGTCTAACACTAACTCAGATTAATACATGTATGTGAGAACTACTTAGGGGAGGGGGGAAAAAAATCATACTGCATACCTTACACTTGCATTTACCTCCCAAGACTCAGGCACACATACTAAAATACCTCTATCCTACAAACGAAAGGAATGTAACTAGAGCTTTACACTATCAGCATTCGTCCCTCAAATTGTCTTCTATACCTAAAAATTTGTGTTACAGCTTTGAGAGACAAATATAAACTGATAATCAGATACAAGTAGGCTTACATGCAGGTTGGATTGAAGCAGGCACTGCCAAGGGACTCCATCCTGCTGTGTAACCCACTCATTTCCACATCTGCTGTCTCTGCCCAGGCCAGAAAACACAGGTCTCTTGCAGTTCCACAGGCACACATACATACACGTTGCTTTAAGAGCACTGAGTGTTACAGCTTTCAAACAAAAGACACTTACAGTAACCTGGTACATAGATGCTTTATTTCTGACATTAACGCGGTCTGTATTGTGAGATCCTCTTACATAAAGGAAAAGTTTGTAGTACAACAAAAACTAAGATAAACAAGGCATTTGTTGCACGTTATGTCAAACCTTAGAACAAAAATATGGTGTAATATGTATTTAGGTTTCATGCAAGTTTGGCTGCTGCATGTACAATTTACCTATAAACTGAAAGAAATGCAAATGCACACAACATTCAAAAAGTAATAAGATGCCTGACATATGAAAGATTAAAACCTTCCTGCTAAAGCAACAAAGTAGGAGTTAACTAAACGATCCAACCAATACCAACACAAATTATGACTACTTACCATAAATCTATGCTTAAACTTGGTATAGGTAGCTTTGATGATACCATTTCTACTTCAACATACCATCCAGATTCTAGATAGTCATTCCGTCTTAATGTCTGATTTCATTTTTTGTGAATTAAATGTTGTCTCCAGCATTACATGTTGCTGTTAAATCCATTCTGGTAATGCACACCTAAATCTAGTACTGCCAAGAATTCCAATTGACTCCTTTAAATTTTGCTAGGTGAGGAGTAATCCTGGCATGATGGGCATTTTCTTATCCCTTGCTTATAATAGGATTCCCGCCCCCCTCAAAATTTTGATGTGAATTAAAAACTGCTAAAAATGTTTATGCCTATTACTATCAGAGCCAATATCAAAAAGCTCATAAAAACAAGGATTGTATAAGCTTTGAGATGCTTTAAAAAAGTTTAAGAACCCATTACCTTCCTTGTGCCACTCATCACATGTTAAATTTCTCCATTAATTAATTCTTCTCTACCATCTCTGATATTAAAGTGTTAGGAACACTTTCCACACCCTGCATAGTACTGGTTGATCTCATAAAGTTAACTAGAGAACCTGACATCGTGTAATTTTACATACAGTGCATATGATGCTCGCTCTTTCCATCTCTCATAGCAGCAAGCCGATTCTGCCACGATCTGTAGCAGCACACCCGGGAGTGGAGAGGAAGAGTGTTTGAATTATAAATAACTAAAACTACAGTGTACAATTCTATTTACCTGTCAGTATTCTGTTGAGAGCACTCCATTATAACTTGCTCGAAATTAACTACATAAAAATCTCTACAACAAAAGCAAACCAAAACATTCCTTCAAAACCAAAAATAAAGACATAAAATAAGTGCAAATACCTAAAATAGGCAACTAAAGCAAGTGTTGTGACCTGTATACCTTTAAATAAGGACAAAGACTTTTCATAAATAAAAGAATGTTCTCTTTGCTCTTCAAACATTTAGTCAGTATATAATGGTCAAAGTTAAGTGCAGATAAATTGTTTTGAGATCCAAGGTGCCAAGTTTCTTCAAAAAAAAAAAAAAAAGGAATAAAATATACATATTGTAAATGCATTAGTTTTTAGTTCCTATGCAGGACAAAGTACTCCTCAGTCACATATAAGACCCCACCATTTCTTTCTAAATATATTTAAACAAGGTACAGGAACAGCTGCTGTATAATATAGGAATACCTTGTAATTATGTTGTAGACCAACATGATTTTAGGGCTATAGTGCAATCTTTATGTAGATGTAACATAGAGTATAGATTTTTACACTTCACCACTGTAATTCTTCTGCCATTTCATATATTTTAAACTTGTCCTTTTTCCATCTTAGCTGTTTTAACAGGAAACAACATTGGCCTCTAGACAACCTGCATACATATAAATATCTACATTTAAGCTTTGAAATGGAAATAAATTATAAAAACAGACTCCTTTCCAATTTACAAAATTTTGCTTGTTCCTACATACTGTACAATACATTCAACAATCATCTCATTTTGAGATTTATGAAGAAAATACTGATGCTTTACACTAAACTTAATTCACCCCCCTCTGCCTACTTCTAGTACCATTTGCAAATAAATATATTTAACACTGTAGTTAATTTCATTGTTTTGCAGCATACCAAAAAAAATTAGTAGTGCAACTTTCTATCCTTCCTTTGTACTCCTTTCCATTGTGTTTCTTTATATACTAGAAAATGCTACATAAGCAAAAGCACATTCAGTCATGTATGTTGCTCATTTGGAAACCAGTAACAACCTATAAACCTACTCTATATTGAAAATGCTCTAACAGATAAAAAAGCGATGCAAGTCAAAAGAATAAATATGAAAAATAGACCTAAAAACTGTATGTTGTCAGTACTGCAATGTATTTTACCCTTCTTTATATTTTAGGGGATTACTCTTTTAATATCTAAAAAAATCATTGCAGAACTGTTTGCGGTATCCCTTCGTAAAGAATGCAAGAGCTTCATGTCTGTTCTTTGTCAGTCAGAAGAAGAAAGGAAGCTTTAAGGTAGCTTTAAGGTTTCCCTTGGCAGACTCTCTCAAAGACTCAATTCCCAACTATGGCACGGGAATGGCCTTCAACATTGTTTCAGTTTCAATGGAAAGAGATGGTTGTCAGCTGCAGTGACCATCACAGTATCAGAGACCTTGAATTGCTGTTGGTAGCTGTGTATGTGCTCAGATACCTTCTTGCTTGTTCAGTCATGATAAGCTGGTCTTCTGTTTTTCCATAAACAACTGCCTCCCAATCACGACTTGGCTGCATAAAATAAAGTTCTGTTAAAAAGGTTCTTTTAACAAACTAAAATACTTAAGCAATTCTCATACAATGTTTCAGAGTAGTACTAAATTATTAAAGCCTAGCAATAATATATTTTACTGAGAAGGATCCAGTTCTACAGTACAGTACCTAAAAGTTGTGACAGAGCTCCCTCATCACCCCTTAAATCCAGCTCCCCAGCAGTGCATCTGGGTTATGCTTTGAGTTCAAACACACAAAATGAAAAACATTCTTCAAGAGAGTCTAACCAGTTCAACAATTAATACATAAAAGGGAAGCTAATTAAGTTATCTTCTCTTTGAATATCTTCCTCTTTAAATGTGCAAAGTTCAACAGGCAGAAAAACACATTACTGACAGCTGTCTGGAGACACCAAGGAAGGTAAAATGATTTTGGAACTGAAAAAGAAGATTGTGAAGAACTTCACTGAACCGAGTGACGGCTGTGGAAGAATGGTCAGATTTTTGGGGAATATATTAGAAACAGCAAAGGAATTGAGAATGACAATGATGAATGGAAGAATAATTAAGCTACTAGTCCTGCTTTTTCCATGAAGCAAAGCCTACATCTTCACATAAGGTACTGAATCTCAAGCTGATTCATTTCAGCTCCAAATTGGATCTGACACTGGCTGATTGTAGCATGATGAAGAATGCAAGATCCTCTCCCTCCCACATGGAGCTGGAAACTGATCCAAAGGATCAGTTCCACATATTGATTCACAAAGAAAATTAGCTGTTTGAGCTTCTCTGTAAATTTAGCAGAACTTGATTCATGGAAGGGACTTGGGGTTAGAGAGGCCACAAAACAGAGGGATTTTCTCTGGGGAAAGAGAAAAAGGAAAAAAGATGGTTCAGTGAAAATATTTGTGAGTATACTATGACTAAGCTCCCCTTTTAAGTATTCTGAAGACCATACTTCTGGGTTAGATAGATGTATTCACCTTTGCTGCAATTCACAGCAAAAGAAAAAAGAATTTTTTCCTTTTTTTTTTTTTTACTTTTAATATCACAATTAAATGAACTTTGTTCATCTTCCTCATAAGAAAAGATCAGAAAGCAATACTGTTGTCTCTCTACTTAAAAACATCATTGTTAAAGCAATTAATTAAGTAGAATATGGAAGATCAGGCTCCAGGTGTCCTGTCTTCTGGGTTTTCAAAATTTTTTTATTAATACAGAGTAGATATTCTGAGAAGACAAAAATACCTTATACATTAGCTCCCTATTGGACAAACTGGAATTGGTACAAAGTCAGGTCAAAGAAATCTCTTCTTAAAGCTGGTGATCAGGACAGAGGGAAAACTAGCTTCAGTGGTTTTACCAGTACAGAAAATATACGTATGTAAAAGAACAGGCCTGTTACTACAATAATTACCAAATAGAATCTGTGGATAAACTCTGCTTAATGAATCCCACTGGGCTTATTATGAAGAGTAAGCACCAGACAAATTTGAGAAACTGAAGTCAAAGAAGTTTGGTTTGCACCAGGTCAAGTTTTCTAACTCTTAGTCTTGGGCACCCAAACCTGTTTTGTTGGTCTCCCCCTACTCTGTTTTTTTTACCTCCCACATCCAAATCTTCGTGAAACATCAGTTTGTTTCACTGAACCAAAGTGTGAAACATCAGGGTTGTGTTTGAAGAACTTAGCTATGAATAAACACTTTGCAGAAAAATGACCAATTTACAAGAAATAAGAATCACAGAAACACTGAAACTGGATCACTGCTTTGAACAATTCTAGATATTAGTGCAAGACAGAAATAAAGCAATACAAAATTTCTTTGTTAACCCACTAACAGAATGAACAGAATTCTTTGCATCCAGACCTGAAGAGTTTTCTCCATTTTGACATTTTTTGTAGCACATGCATTCAGTTTCTTCTTAATTACTGCATTTGCTTTGTTTGCTGGATTTGTATCCTGTTTTTCTGATGTCAGGTTACATCTGTTGTCCTGTATTTCCAACAATGGTGTCATTAATAAAGATGTGGTATATGCATTTTTTGACTATTGACAAAAAAGAGAGTAAAGAACAGGAATAATAATTAGTAGTTAATACAAAAAGACTTCAAATGCTGTCTTCAGAGAAGCCAAAATGTAAATAAAGTAAATACCATCAGAAAGACCCTAGGAAAGAATCTGAAAAGAAAATGTAATGAAGTACATGAAGAACTAGCCTGTCCATACTGGGATCCATAGTACAACAAGCAGCTGCAAGCATGGTTTAGGTATCACTGAGTAGACAGTTTCTTTACTCTAAAGCCATGCCACTCCTATAGATTTTGTAAAGAACAAGATTTGATAAGGTGGTAACCACTGAACAGTTTAAAAGAAAAAAACCCCTCACTTTCACATCTAGGACAATCCTTGTGAAAGTCAGGACAAGGAGACTAGAGTCAAAAAAGTAGTATCACATCAATTTTAGGGGGAGGAAATGCTTTAAGAACTGAAATAAGCACTGGATGGATCATTCCAGAAGAGTTTTATATATTGGTAATGTCTACGGAAATAAACATAAATTAATTCAGCTTCAGTATTCAAAATTGGAAGACAGATATATGTCAATTTTAAAGACCAAAAGTTAGTTCACAGTAACAAAGGCTAAGTATTTGCTTGCTTACAAAAACACCCCATTAAATTGCATTAAACCACCTTTAAGTATTTATTCTTCCTCAGACCTTATTCCTAAATTATCATCACATGGACACACAATTTCAACTTAAAGACTGGTATATTTTTCATTTTTAAATAAGATACTACCACTATGTCTCTTGCTAGGAGTGAATGTTCTTGTTCCACCAGCATTCCTTATAAAAATGCAGGAAAAGCCAACTTGTCCCCAGCCTTTAAGAGACCAAAACATCACGGTGTAGCTTAACCTGGACTCAGTGATCCACAATGATGTGTCAGAACAAGACAAAACTAAGAACAGCAGGCATTTTGGTCATGACTGGAATGGCTGCAGCACTGCTGCTCCTCCCAAAAGATGTTCCTGGGGAAGCTGGCAATTCCCACTAGGTGGCAGAGCACCCAATACCCAGCAGGAAGATTCCAAGGCTTGGCAGGCACAGAGTCTAAGAGGCACTTTAGAAGGGAATTTAGAAAACCAGCTAGAAAGGAATATGACCTAAGCAGGTCTGACTTTTTAAGCAATTTGGCACCTACATCCTGTATATAGCCTTAAACCTCATCAAGAATCACAGACATTTATTCTTTGAGCATTAAACACATACATGCATTAAGAACTCAATAGAACAAAGTTTTCCTACAAGACTAAAGAGTAAGCTATTCAATTACTCAGCTGAAAAAACATTGAGCTTCTTTTTAAAGGAAAGAGGGATCAAAATAGCCTCATTTCTGATTTCTTCATGTCCTGATTGTTAAGGCAGAAGTACTCAAATTCCTTTAGGCAGAAGAAGCACACAAACTTCATCTTTTACATGCTTGATATTTGTTAAAGTATTCCCCTACTATGTGAAGCAGGAAAAACATGCTGCCTAATATGCAATTAGGGATTTTCAGAACACATTTGCCAGACTGTCAAACATGCACAGCACAGGAGCAAATGTCACCTTCCTGGTATATTACAGACAATTTCAACATGCTGTGTAAGCTGAAGTTTATAGACAACCAGCATGGAAACAGCTTTGCTACAAACCTGTAAAGCATTCACATTATTTTACCTACTCTGAAGGAAAAATTCATGCATGAATTCAAGCCCAGTGCTCACCTATTTCTTAAGTACTTAAAACAATATTTCAAACTGAAGGTACTTTTCACGTTCTAGACGCATTAATCTAGCAACTTCAGTCCAAAAATTTATTTTAGTGGGCAGAACAAAAGATACACAGTTCCATATTAATATTGCTGCCAGTGATGCTCTTCAGTTAGATTAGTTTAGTTTAATTCTTACCTGTACATCTAAACTATTATCTTCTGTCAAACGCTGGGCCCCAACCTCTTCTTTATCCTGTGGATCTAGGACCAGTGATTTTCTGACTTTTTTAGAAAAGTTGTGCTGAAATAAACATTTTGCAAAAAAAAAATTGTAAAATATTATTTCAAAGCAGTTATTACCTATTTGAAATTACTATTGTCATATTACCTCCTGCTTGCAGTTTTTATACAAAGTGTCATCTTCCTCCTTGGGAAATATATCTGTTCCAGTTTCCTCTTTCAAAACTTCCCTAATGTCTTCCTCCGAGAAGGCAAGTGGTTGTGACTAAACATTAATTAAAATTGAAAAAGAAAATACAGGAAGTCTATTAGTGGCCAGTTCTTACAATATTCTACTTTCAGCTAATGTAGGCCAGAAAAGAGATCTTGCAAAACATAGCATGAAAGACCTAAGCTACTGTAGTTAAAAACCACAGGGCTACATTTCAAGGCTATGAAGATTATTTTAAGTTAATTTTACTCCACATTATTTTTAGCCAGATAAACATATATATGCACACAACACTTCAAAAAATGCAAGGTAGCATTGAAGAAGACAAACTACTTGTTTGCAAATGGTTATCCACTGATAAAAGGGATAAAAGTAATTTATATATACTAAATACCTACATAAAACACATATATGTATATATACATGCATAAAAACATACTAAAAAACTGTACTGGAAATGTGTAACTGTTGTTGTGAAATGAATTTATACCAATTTTAACACAAATCTTTGAATAAGACATTGATAGTCCTAAGTACAGTACAGAATTTCACAGAAGCCATACAGATGGCTCCTTTGTGTACCAACAGGAGAAGAATTCCCTTAAGCCCTCAAAATTTGATTTTGAACAGGAGGTTAATAGTGGACAGAAACAGGAATGCCAAACCACTCCATTTGCATAGTGAGGGACTGTGAATCTATAGGGTAACACAGATGGTGCCAAGCCCTGTGGCAAAGTCTGAGCTACCTTCTGTGTTTGCAGAAAAGAAGCAGTCAATATATATTGGCTGGAATCTTTTCAGAATTTGAAAAGCATATGTCTCCTGAATTCCAAAAGTTATTATGCATTAACATACCTTAGCTAGGCTAGGAAGAGAACAAAAATTTAATTCATTTGGAACAAACTAACAAAAAAAGGTAACATTATCCATAGTCAACAAAACAAAAAAAAAAGAAGTGTGTGACAGCCAGCTGAATCAGAGGATCATGAACTGCTATACTAAAATTTTGAGATTTAGGATGAAGAAAACTGCAAACATCAGTCAAGATTACCATACTGTGGTAAACACCTAGTTTCAGTCCTAGTGCTGTAGAAGCACCAAAATCAAAGAACAACTCAGGTCTTACATAGCCCAGAGGATACAAAGATAATGCAGTTTTTCAAGTGAAATGTGAAAGTTGTTTAAAATAATGAGGTCAGTCATACTCAACTACAGCAGTTTGCTCTTACCAGATTACCCAGCTGGAGGACCCACACCCATTCATTCTCTGATTTATAATTTTTCTTTTGAAAAAATAGAATCCTAAAGTATTAAATTTCAGGCATTTATGCAGCCACCTTGTCAGAGATACAGTTTTAGCAAGGATAGGCAAATTTAAAACAACTCACAAACATGAAACTGATGCATTTAAGATTACTGTGGATCAAATGATTACATGTACTAAATAACTATTCAAGAAGACCATGTCTTCATACTACACTGAAGGATACAAGTCTAACAACCACATCCAAAGTGGTTTTGATTCACATTCTAGCTGTTCTCTAGGATAAGTAAATGCTTTTTAAGATCACACTGAGGCTTCCAATACCTCAAAACCAAGAAAGCATTTAGATTTCAACAAAGAAAAGAAACAGTATAACCACATACCATAAGTCTGAGGGGACCATACTTTTTTTCCTGAGCAGCCAAAGCATTCTTAAAAGGAGTTGGTGTCCTTGGTGTTGAACCCAAAAGAGATCTTCTCATTGTAGGACTTCTAAAACTATTCAAGCATAGAAAAGCATTCATAAGTGCATATTTTAATATTTTATCATTAGCAATGTAATAAATTAATCTAAGAAACATTTTAAAATACTTTCATTTACACAACAGATATCACCACCATGCATCTGAAAGTACTGAGATCACTGTAACATTACCCCATGTGTATTAAACTTTAATTTAATAACACCACCAGATGTTTAATGTAATAAACCTACCCCACATTCTCCTTTTGATCTTGTGGTGTCATTTCCTTGTGTAAAGGAGTCGTAATAAGAACTTTCTGCCCACAGATTGGAGTTGATGTAAATGCAGGATTTTCAAAGTTAAATTGTTCATTTCCAGAACAAGTGTTGAAAAACTAAACACAAGAAGAAAAAAAAAAAAAAAGGCAACCTTACAAGACAAAATTTCACCATTGTGCTGAACAGCAAAACCCTCCAAATTATATACATATATCTGATAGACTTTTACTGACAAATCCCAATACTCTATTCTTGACTTACACTTATTGCTGAAACCTTGATTTTCTTCTTAAAATCCCCACTCCTTAATTAGGTCACAGAAACAAAAGGTCTCTATCAACAATTATTTGCATGAGAAAGTACGAGCTGAGACACAGCTCATTGCCACCACTGCTACCGCCCTCCCCATTAGTCTTCAAAACAGAGGTTGTTTAGCAGTATATTTTTAATATATTTACCCTTATGCAGATGTTTTAAGAAGTTTTTTGACATGTTTATTTAGGCTACAATGCACTACCAGGAAGAAACTATTACAATTTATAACCCACCCAGCAGAGTCTTCACATTTAGCAGTATTTACCAACACACTCACCTGTGATGGAGAGAACGGTAGTGTTTTCACTGGCGTGCGCTTTAGTGCCACATTGACGGCATCGTTACACAAACCGTCATTCAGCTCGGGACCCGGGGACTGCCCAACACGCAATCTCTTCTTCTTTCTCAGGATAGCAGGTGGATTGCTGAACTTGTTTGAGGTTGATGAAAAAACTGTTTCCTCATCCCCACTGATGCTGCTGTGGTTTTTGCCATCGAGCATCACGCCCACGTTATACTGGCACTCGGCAGCCCCGTCGCTGTGCTGGAGCCGCATCAGCTTCACTGGGGCTGGCTTGACAGGGGAGACAACGGCCTCGGAGAGCTCAAAGCACGTATCGCTCCATGCTACCGGATCCTGTGGGCAGGGGGCAAAACACAAGCAGGCTTATCCAAGACTACTTCAGAATGTCCAAGCCAATCTATCAGCCCTCTACCTCCACAAGGCATATTCTGAATTATTCTCTCTGTGTCTTTCATACAATCATAAAACAGTGGATATTTTAAGATACAATTCTTTCCAAACAGGCAATAAAGCAGTTGAGAAGGCAGAAATTATAGACAAATACAAAATAAGGTAATTTAAGAGTATTTTACACGTATTGCGTAAGTTGACACTCCTAATTAAACACTTATTTTTAACAAGGAATACAAACTTACGATTTCCATAAGATCTAGTGCCTCTGCAAATTCTGGAATGGTCTGTAGAGGTGTTAACATTCTATTTGCTTCTACACCCAAATACTTAGGTGGTGAATTCTGCTGAACAGGTGTGATGCGGGTCTCATCCATGCTGTAGAAATTACTTGTTTGTTCCTCAAGACTACTTAGTGTATTAGGCATACAATCCTCCATGATAAAATTTCCAGACCAACAAGACAAGCTTCCAGCTTGCTAAAAAATTGTGAAGAAACACATTAATCTTATTCAACTTAGAGGCTGAAAAGTCAATTATGTGACTGCAGGGTGGGAAAAAAAGTAGTGTGTGGAAAGACTAAGCATAACTATTAATTTTGGCATTTTCAAATACTAATTATCTGTTTCAATTAAAGAAATTAGCCTTCTCTTTACATTAACATGCTCAACATTCTCAAATTGTGTAAGATTTTTATCTTACCTCACATTCATATCTTATACACACTCACAACCTAGGTAATTATGGGCTGTATTGGAAGCCCTCTCTCATGCAAGTTTCCTGCATACCTGAACACCAGTATATGAAGTCATCTTCAGTACAGAACACTGAACATCTAATTTTAAGATCAGAAAATGTTTCTAGAGTGTGAAATACTACTTGTTTGATCTGGATTTTTTTAATGCAGATTTTGCATTAATAGCTGAGTAAACTTCTAAAAGGTTATCCCACTTCAGTAGACTGCTTAGTACTCAAGAAACAAATTCTCATTTTCACTGGAAATCTAGAAGCAAACCACATGCTACTAGATAAGCAGAACTGCACTGTTTCAAAAGAATGCCAGGAGTAACTCTGCCACATAAAATCTGGAGTTCACCTGTAACCTAAACTAGTGATCAATATGGTTGGGTTAGTTAGGTGTCTGATACGCACAGCCCTCTGAAGAAATCAGTGATTGCCATCTGGAAGTCACCCTAATTCTACAGAATTAGGGAAATTCCACTGAATTTACACACAAATTGTGTACAGTGCATATTTATTTAGTGTTTGTCATGTCCAAATGTGGGTATTAAGTATTGCAAGCACTCACATTGAAGTTTGAGGAAAATATAATCTACAGGACATTTTGAAATCAAATGGGGCAAAACCCATGTATTTTTCACCTCTACTGGGCAGAGGCTCAACATTGCTGATCCATAAAACTAAATGGCAATGATATCAAACATGTCACCTCCTGAAGAGGATTAAAATACTGGGTCTTAGGAACTGCCAAATTGCTGGTCATATTGCTGTTGTCTTCATAGTTTAGAAAACTGCACTAAAAGTAAGTTGTCTCAGTTCTAATATACAGATTTTTGTTTTCCAATGCAACAGCCATAGGTTTGATTTTAGAGGGTCAGGTGAAAAAAACACCACACTAAACCACACAACCATTACTGAATTTCTGAGGATTAACCTCAGCAACATAAATTCAAATATTTAGAGAAATTTACAGTCCTTACAGAAGACATTTGTTTTCTTCTGATTTCATTCTCTGCTGACATAAGTAGCAATTCAAGTTCCTTTATTTTCTTTTCTTTATCAGGATCATCATCAATAAATGGCTGCTGAAAAATTTAAGAAAGAAGCCATTACTACTTTTTATTTCCACCTCCTCTTCACAGTAAAGATTCTGCATTATAACACAGCTGTATTTTTAACAAGAATCCACACAGAGAGGGAACAGAACTGTTCAGGCTGTATCCCATTTTGTAGTACAGAAGTCACCCACAACTGAAACAACTCCAACTACCAGGAGACGGATCTGATGTTAAAGTGGTGTGTAAGGTGGTATTTTAACTGGATTCTAATATGGCCTGTAAGTTATCTGTGTGCTAAAGCACATTCTAAACTAAAGTCACTATATTCTATCTTTAATAGAACCAAGTGCTGGCACACCCTTTATATGTTTGTGGTTTCACATTCCTTCTACAATTCTGTGTTATTCATCCTCACTAAGTGTGCAAGAAAGTGTTTCAAATCAGCATTTGCTGACACAGTATTTATACAAGCAATCCCACCACTACTATCAGAAAAGAAAATTAACTAATTGGTTTTGATTGGTTTGTTTGTTCTTAACCTCTTTAACACCTTCCATTATTGCTATAAATATAGGTGAGGATATATGCTATCACCAGTTTACAGAGTATTTCAAGGAGCAGAAAGTATCTTATACTTTTCTGTGTAGGGCAATCCAGACTGTCAAAAGCCAATGAGCTTTGTTGCGACTTGCATTCCTATACCATTATCAGGGAAGAAAATGCAACATGAAACAGATGATCTGCACAGGCAAACTTCAGGTTAGGTAGAGAGCTCTACAGAATTCCTCTATCTAACACAAAAAAAATCCATGTATTATTCCCTGTGTCTTCTTTTACTAATTCCAAATAAACAAGAGTTCTTCCAAGGCATCATATTAGAAACCAAGATCTATATTCATTCTGCACCACATGAGGAATTTCAGGTATATTCCAAGTGAGCCGAAAAAAGCAAAAGGAAATAATATATCCAATTTCTATTTGGTTTAAAATTCCTTAATTCTTCAGGATTTAGAATGCTGCAGAAGGGTAACTGATTGAAAGATATTTATCAGTGACAAAGAAATAAAACATAATGAGAACAAAAAAGCACAGTCAGAAGTGTAAGTCACAGTAAGTTGAGTTTTTCAGGATAGAGTTATATTTATTACATAGATGTAAATAGTAAAGTCTTGTCTTTAAACCTCTCATAAGCTAGGTAATACTAATATAGGTCACCACAATTTAGCTCAAGATTTAACAAGTAGACTATGTTTTAAGCCATATTTCTGTCAGAAATAAGCACAAACATCATGTTCCTGGGATAGTGAAACAGAGCTTCATTTTTCCTAAAGTACCAACTACGCTAGCAAGCTTACTTACAGAGGAACCTATATAAATGTAGGTGAATGATAAAGACTAACAGTCATTTTGAAGATACACATCTTTTCATTTTACTGAATAATACTATGCAGTAAATTCTCTTTAATTTATGAAGGCTGTTAACAATTTACCTGAACTATGTTGGAAGAAGATGGAGCATGCTCTAGACAGCTGCCTTCTGGTGAGGCATACTGATATGCTGGAATCTAAAAAGACATAAAACATTTTACAAACCTTCAAGAAAATGAGGATATAAAATTAACTCTAGTTTATGATATATTAATTATTTATAGTTTACAAATCCTGAGTTGCCAAAAAATCACAAAAATACTCAACAGATCTTCAATTTTTTCAGATGTGTTTCTTGTTTCAAATCAAATCAATTATTTGAAACTGGGAGATACTTATTGTTCTAAATTTTGAACTTACATGTGTCTGAACAGGCACATAAAATTGATTCTGAGTGTGCAAGTGTTCCATAGTCAGACAAGGTTGGGGCTGAAGTTCAGCAGAACTAGCGCTTTCAGACTTTATAACACTTTGCAAATATCCTTCCTGTTCCACCTTTCTTCGCATTGTTGAATTCCAGTGATTTTTAATTGAATTATCAGTCCTAAAATGAAAGCATAAAACAGTGACTGCTTTCCATATCTCAAAATTAATTATATATGACACAATTGACAGGGTTTGTACAGTAGGTTAATCTGAAGCCACAAATTCAGAAAGCTCCAGCAGCTTAGATCAAAAGTTCTGTAATCAGTAGTGTTTAGGCATAATGACTAGAAAGCTCCTCTTTTTAGAGCTTCCTTCTACTAAACTTCAAGTGTGCCAGAAATTAAAAGCAGAAAAGGAGAAAGCCTTGGTTCTGACTGTAATCATGATGGGGAACCTTTTTTCTTAGATACTTGGAATAATTGAATGAACACATAGTTATTTACCCCTCTGCTATAAATTTGCAGTGCAGGTAGCTAAGAAAATCACCTCACTGTCCCGAAACATAATAAAGGCACTTGGGCTGGTGTTTGCTACTGGAAGACATCTCTTCTAAAACTGACAGCCTGCAGCCCCCACTCTGCATTTTATGTGCAGCTTTGTGAAGAACATCCTACTACCTCTTCATGCCCTTGATTGTGGATAGGATAAAACAGGCATGGCATTTTGACAAGCAGGCTGAAATCACTCCAAACACTAAACAAACATTAAGACAAGAGTAGACTATAACTGCATTGCTGTCTAAAACACCAGTATTATTATTCCTAGCCTTAGGTAGAGGTACACAGAAACAAAAATTGGTTAAAATCCCATTCTCATTTAAGGGCACTCCAAGAAGTATTCCCCTTTTTCATCCCAGTAGTGTTGGACTCTACAGCTCTTCTAGGTCTACGATCTTTAGCAGTCTTTAGTTTAGAGTGTCAGATATATTGACAACAAACAAGCTAGTAAATAGGAATTCTTCTGTCAAACTCATCTTCCCTCTCCAAAATTCTATTTAGATGCAACCCACTCTCTTCTCATTCCTCCAAAGCATTTACTGTGAGCTGTGGATTGTGCACTTCATCAAAACACAAAGTTTTTAAGCACGCATCCCTCATTACACCAAGGTAACAAATGCTGATATTCCTCAGGCACAGCTAGACAGTCACCTCTTCAACACATAAACTGAATTCAGAAAGGGACAGCTTAATGTTGAATTTCAGTTAACAGTACAAGGTAAAAGAATTACTTCATTAAACTGATCAATCACACACGCTAAAATTTTGTTTTCCACAACCACAGAAATCGGCAGTGAAACTTGAAAGAAATATAAGGCAAACAATGCATACAATTAATGCCTAACTTAGAGACTTCATGACAACCAACTAACTTCGCAATGCATGACTCCTAAGTCTGGACTTTTGAAGGTTACTAAGATTTTCTTTTACAAGTGTCCAGTTCAACAAGTGCTACACAAAAAAAAAAAAAAAAAAAAAAAAAAAAAATCTGATCTTAAACCAGGAAAGTCACCCTCAAATACATACCAATGAAGGCACTTTGAGATCACATTTGATATAAAATCAATTTTCTACTACTGCTTGCAGTTAATTCAGCTCAGCTCTATTACAGAGGGTTTTTAAGTGATCAGGAGGAATCTGAAGACACCTTCAAATGGTTAGAGCTCTTTCTATGGGTGTTACATGTTTTTAAGAATACAGGTCAAATATGAAAGATTTTTAGTGTCTATCAAGATAACTATATTTTGATGTAAGTCTCAGCAGATGCTCTCTAACTAACAAGTTAAGATTTGAAAAGGTACTGAGATGAGCACTTTTCATATTCCAACATTTAACACAAATAGAGTTGAAAAGCACCTTCCAGGAAGAAGCTTTGCTATTTCAGCCCATCGGTTTCCCAAACGCTTGTGAGCTTCATAGATTATTCTGTCCTCTTCTTCTGTCCATGAAGACTTTTTTACCTCAGGATTGAGATGGTTATGCCATCTTTCTCTGCATTGTTTGCCTATTCTTCCTTTCAGGTGTTTTGCAATTAGAGACCAGCGCTTTGGACCATACTTCTGAACTAATTCAATAACCTGCAATACAGATGAAAGCACATTATAATTTCAAAACCTAATTTACCTAATCAAAGGCTGAGAACACTGATAAACACACATTTTAGAATAGCATTCTAATAGGCAACTGATATTAGGCTTAAGGAGGCACACAGTGACTTGGGGTTTTAAAAATGATTTTTCAAGAAATCAGAAATTACTAACTCCAAATTCTCTCTCTTATTTAGAATATAAGTGTATACTGATGAAAATTTGGAAGTTTCCTCTCTATCACCCATTTCATAAGCTGACATTAGGAAAGGACAAAAAAGAAACAGGTGAACGTGTTTGACTATTTTCAACAATATCCATGAGAAACGACCCACACCTCTACATCTAGAATGGAGGTTGGGAGTTTTACAGAGTAGAAGCTTTTTCTTAAAAGACTAATGAAAACTGTAAAAAAATAGATTAGGAAGACCATATTCATAAATTGGCAAACAGTAGTTTAAAATATCTTAGAACAGTTTTAAACAGTAGGAAAAAGAAACCAGTTTGAAATACCATAAGAAATCTGTATTTGCATCTCCCTACCAGGCAGTCCAGATTGTGCAGGCAAAAGGCTACAGTATGGATTAACAACAGTGAGGTGAAAAAGGAGCCTAAACCACTGATAGCTTCTTTACACAAGGAAATGGTTTCACAGAATATTCTGAGCTGAAAAGAAACCAGAAGGATCATCGAGTCCAGTGGCCTATACTGGGATCACTCTCACAAGTTTGGCATTATTAGCACTATGGCCTAACTAAATGAGTTGATCTCAGGGTTGTAACAGTAGGTTATGAAATAATTTCCCTTATTCCCAAACCCTTCAAGTCTGGTGGTTTTGAGGAACAAAAGATGTAAAAGAGACCTTGTCCTTTAGTGCTACCAAGAGATCCCCCCTACTTGGTAAGTTACAGTAATTCAGCCAGCAATCTCACTAATGGGAAATTAAATGCTTGAGCAGACCCAACATTCCATCTACTTAAGAGACAATTTTTTCCTTCTCACACATCATAATGTAATAAAAGTATCCACATCACAAGATGCATCAGACAACAAGGCATCACACATGGAAATGGAACTTTAAAAAAAGTACACATTCTTAGCAGTCATACATCAATTTTATTAAAGAGCAGAGTATCAATTAGCTTTTGTTACCCTCTGATCCTCTTCTTTAGTCCAGGGCCCTTTAATCAATTCTGGGTTTAGTACCTTCTGCCACCGATGCTGGCACTGAAAATCTGAACGATTCTGAAACAGTTTTAGAAGAGCAGTACAGCTGTTATACTCTCAAATACATAAAGCTGTAAATATATTCTACCATGAATTATTAGCTTTTTTCAAATTAAAAGACTTATTTAGAAATTTGTTCTAAGTATAATCGTTAAATTCTCCCTTATTATTTCTTATTCCATTTGCTTATAAAAAACTCTTCTCTGGAAAGAAAAACAACCTTGCATTAAGCTCTCATTTAATTATTTCAATGTACTAAATTGATAATCAAATTCAGAACTTACTCATCTTTAAAGAAAAATTTATATTTATATTTGTCCTCATTACTCTACACTTTCAACTTTGTGGTTGATCTATTTTTGACATTATCTATAACTTAAATAAGGGGGAAATTTTTTAAGGAAATACTTTTCTTTTAACATAAAAGAATACACTTTTCACTAAATCCCAAATGAATGTATTCTCAGCTCTTTACTAGAGTGTTAAGGAAAACAGATTTAGATCAAATTTAGTTAACATATACTAATTAAACAACATTGTTTTTGCTGGTCAGGACAGATGGTGCCTTTCTGTAGCTTCACTATGGATCTTTTGAAATATTGTTCCCAGTTATGAAAGAGAAGTAATCTTCACTTAGCCTCCTAAAAACTGTCTATATGAAAGGGTTGGTCAAATGCTTAGAAATATACAGGTAAGAGCCTGCCCCAGGACAGCACATTTTTTTAACACTGGGACATGATTATTTACTTGCTTCAGAGCAAGCTGTTGGATAGCAAGTACCAATTTCAAGGTTTTCCTGGTCTTGTCTACCAAGTAAAGGTGTTACCATGCTAAGATGAAGTTAAAGTAGCAGTCTGCAAGACCAGAAAAAACACCCAGAACACTAACGCCTGAAATTACACTGCTCACACTACCTTCAAGCTAATCACAAGTAGTAACTGTATGATTAAAAGCATACAACAGGTTTTTACAAAACATCATCATTTCCTGTTGAAGAGAAGCTGTAAAAGACAGACTCAATATAGAATAGCTGTTACCATTTGGACAAAACCATTTTGAATTTTGGCCTTTTAGTGCTCTTATCTTCTAGACATTTCTGAAATCATAATATGATTTGGAGAGAAGAGCAAAGCAAATGATAAAATGAAACAATAATTGTTTCAGTCTGCCTTAGCCACAAAAAAAAATCAAAAGTGATTACAAGCTACACTCTCACTCTTGAGAGTGACCTTGAAGCCATCTTCACTTTTTCCAGGCAGAACAGAGGGAAGGTTTATCTGTGCCCAGTCCAGCAAAGAAATGAGGGTTTAAAAGCACAGCAGTTTGAGGGCCTTCACAATTCAAGATACATTTGGCTTTCCTAGCAAAAGACCATCAGTAACAAGGTGAGTGTGAATTATGCCAGCCTCTATTATTTGGCTGTTGCAATAGGTCACCTGAAAAGGCTGTGCAGGCTCCATCTGTGGAGAGAATCAAACCCAAGCCCCGTCCTGGGCAGCCTGACCTTGCCTGAGCAGGGGCTGTGAGCCAGATGATCTACAGAAATTCCTTCCAACATCAATGATTCTGCAGCAGGCACCTGATTATGCACATTTCCTATGATAACTGGGGAATGTTCTTGCAACCTCATTTGGGCCCAGCTGAACAACAGGTTTTTTGTCTCCAGAAACATTTTTTTTTCAGATGAAGAATTTTTTACTAAACTGTTAGATCTGTTAAATGCAACTCTATACTACACCTGCAAATCAGTATCACCTAATGTATTTTCAAACATCTTGATATAAAAGCTTTTTGATTCTCCTCTGCCCTCTACTCATTTCACTGATTCTTATAAGGGAATAAGGTACATGTAAGGCATATGGATTTGCTTATGCATGACTTAAATTTAGAAGCTTGGAGTTTATTACCTGATACCTATATTTTCTACTTGGAAAAATAATAGAAGCACCACAGTTGCACAAAAATATGATGAGAACAACGCAAAGTTATAGTTGTTCAGCATTTAGAATTCAAGTCCTTTTTTAACTTACAGTGGAAGTTCATACAACCACATCATCCCACATAATATTGTAAGAACCTCAAAGGTAGAAGGAGGTGCAGTTTTTTTGATTTCTAATATTTCAATATCCAACCACTTCTAGGAAGCGATTTCAGCCTTATATTCTATAGCAGGCATTTTATAACATTTGTTCAGAAGAGAAACAAACACCATCAATTCTAGTTGTAGGTACTTTCTGCTGTTACCTCAAGCAGTCATCACTGTAAGAAAAAAATCAAACCCAAACAAACAAAAAACCCCAACAGACACACACAAATAAATAAATAAAACACACATGCCCCCTTGCCTATGACAGTTAAAAAATTAATCCTGCTCCTTTCAAGCAATCTTTCAGATGCAACCCACTCTCCTAACTGCTTCAGAAGCAATCTGTGAACTGTGGATATATAGCCACCATGAGTGATGGAACCCGTATTCCATAATGAAAACAAATAGCAAGTGTGAACAGAAGGTGTTTTGATCATTTCAGACTATCACTGAAGATTGATAGTCTGAAATGATCAAAACACCTGACCCCATAAGGTTCTTCAAGGTCTGAGCTAGATCAAGCCTGTTTTAGAAGAATCCTCTAAAATAGTTTTTATTATGTGCTCCTCATTCTATTTCACTACATTTCCCAGCTAGACATATAACCAAAGTAAATAAATATTGAGAGAACTTAACTGAAACAGAGATTCAACTTACTTGTAGATGACTAGCAATGAAAGCCCAATCATCTGTACCATTTTGTTCCACCAGCTTCTTTAGCCTTTCATCCTGTTAAGACATAACCTCAGCCAATAAATTTTACAAGCTACCCCAATACAATACTAAATAATAATATATTTCATGAGCTAAGATCAGGTAGGGATCAGAGTAAAACAAAAAAAAAGTATTACCTCTTCACGGGTCCATTTCACCTTGCTACATATCTTCTTCAAACCTTTTTGCTGTGGTACTTCATAGTCATGATCCATATATTGAAAGTCATCGTCTTCCTCACTGCAAAATACAACAGATGAGTGAAGAAGATCAAAATAGAGTTTAAAATACCTCTGAAAAACCTTTTTTTCTAATTACTTGCAGCTTTTTTCTAATCTGTACATATTGTTCTAAAATGACACATAGGATTTGCATGATCACAAGGTCTGCCTCTAGCAATTCACCATGTCAAATTACCAATTTAATTTTAATTTCAAGGCCACACACTGGACAGATAACTCCTTCCAAGACAAGATTTAAATTTGAAGTAAAACCTACTTTTTAAGATTCATGTATTTCTAGTACATTTTTTCATCTTTATTTTACATCACTGAGCTTACAGAGTGGTGTTAGGCTGCAAAACACATTCATGATCCACCTCCATAAGTGAAACAACAAACACAACAAGAATGTTAAGTAAGTAAATCTCAACTTGAGATTTTACGTGGGCTCCTGACTTGACTAAAAGCGTTGCCTCGGTGTTACAGGAATTAGATACAAATCTTTGAAGACAGAGATGTTCCAGAATAAATAATTTGGGCCTCAGCGCTGAGCCCCGAGGCGCAGAACAGCCAGGTACCGCTGCGACTCCGCGAAGATCCCGCTCCATCTACTGGAGAAACGCGGAACTCCACAACCTGCATAAACAAAGCCTTCCAAACAGGCGGCACAGGGAAGTGCTTCATGGAATCATCGCTTAAACTTCTGTCAGTGACTCATGTTAGCATAAATTCAAACACATGTGGAAACCTAGCTCTAACAACAAGAGCTGCTGTGCCCCTGCATTAATTATACCAAAGGCACAAAGAAGGGACTCCCATCCAAATACATCACTTAAATTAAAAGCAGTTTCACAGGGCAATTTTTTTCTCCATTTTATTATTGGTACTAAGCATGATAAAAAAAACATAAATTCAGGTTCAAAACAAAAATTATTTCTTCTCATCCTTGACAATTGCTTCAATTTTTTAATCAAAAGTATAAAAAAAACCTTTCCCAGTAATGAAATTAACTTGTGCTGGTGTCCCAAGAACAGATTCAATGGACAGTATCTCCATTATTTTCTAGAATATGCAATGATCAGCACAGCACGCTGATTAACCACTTACACTTTATTTGTTATCTCCCATTAAGTCTGTTCCTGTCAGCCACCGAGGACATACTTAATTCAAAAGCATTACCACAGGATACTAAGTGCCCAACTCCTGCAGACTCGCTTCTACATCCTACACCACATCTGCATTCGCCTTACTTAGCTTCATGATGCAGCAGTAAAACATAAGCAAATTAAAACTTTGCTGAGTTGCTGAAAGACAAGGCAGCAAACTTGTGGGAAGGTCAACAGCAAGTTCTTCATCATACTTTCAGAAAAAAAAATGAGCTGCAAACGCTTTAAGAGGTTTGCATTAAGTGGGCTAAGACTTACAAAAACAGAACTTAAACTCAGAAGTAACAGTTTTTTCTGCCTCCCGACCAACTCCTCTTTTGTCCTTTGACAAACTTCAGGGATCTGTCTTAGGAATACACTTCTCATAATACCACTTCATACCAAGCAGGCCATACAGTTCACTTACAACTAAAATCAGGCCTTCTTGTAAAGCCCTTTGTCAACACGACCTCCTCACCCACTGCAGAGCAAACTGGTTCGTGAGCAGTCTCCAGTAAGGAGAAAAGTCACGGGGACCCAAAAGCAGAGCAGGGCTCCCTCTGCACGGGGACCCAAAAGCAGAGCAGGGCTCCCTCTGCACGGGGACCCAAAAGCAGAGCAGGGCTCCATGCGCACGGGGACCCAAAAGCAGAGCAGGGCTCCCTGTGCACGGCAGTGAGGCCGATGAGAGCTGCAGCGCCAGAGCAGGTGGGGGCCCCGCCCGGGGGCAGCTGCGGTTCAGAGCCCTGCATCAGGAGCTCTCCAGCCACACCGGTGCCTCTGCCAGCCAAGCAGGCACTAACCTCTCCTGCACCTCCATTCCACCTGAACAACCACCTAGTCCTGAGTCTTGCTTAGACCAGTGCTATGATAGACTATAAATCAAATCCTGATTAATGAGTGGGACTACCACTTGAAGTTTTCAATTAAAAAGACAAGATTTTTAAACACATGGGGTTGTTATAGCTCCTTTGACAATTCTTTTGCAGTTATGAAACTGCTAAAATACTGCATCAAAGTGGAAGGCATCCACCAAGTTTCATCAAATAAGACATCTGGGACAATAAAGTACATATTTTGTGAGATCTGCACTAGCTGTCCTTGCAATTCTGAGTTGAGGACCATTAAAAGAAAAAAATCAAGCTTGCAACTGCAACAACCAAGAGAAGTTTAACATTAAATGAATGTGAGATTAAACTTAATATCGTTTGGTGCAAAACAACTGCATTTTCTTCTTACTTCACACCTAGATTAAAAGTCTTGAAGGCACTTTCATGAAAACTCATAGCTTCAATATTTAGTTTTGGAGATACCATCATCAGACACTGACACAACATCCGCCTCGGGCTACCGATCTCTAACCAAACCTTCCTCTGCTATCCACAACCCGCTGTACTTTCAATCATGAAATCAAAGCACTCCACAGCCATGGGAGAGATAATACAATCTAAAGCTTCACAAAAATGAAACCACTGTAATACCACAGGTGAAAGTCCCTTAAACTACAAAATGCTGATTAGGAGTGCCAAGAAACATGCTGTCTCCGAGCCAAGAACAGATAGCTTCAGCAGTCAGCCTCTGCAAGCAAAGCCCTTTGTGGCTTACACAACTAGAACACCAAAGCATTGTTTTCTTGTTTTAGTTGCAGCTTTGCAGAAAAATATTCTCTTATAATTTTTCCCATGTCAGAGGAAAACGCAAAAGCAGTTTTAATATGCATGACTTTGAAACCACCCCCAATTCCATGAAAAGTATACATTCACAACAAACCCCGGATGCCACAGATAACTCACCAAGTATCCTTTCCTTCCCCAATCCTAATCTTTCTCCTATATTTCTTTATAACTTTCCAGAAACTGATTTAAGACAGGAATAACCATAGCGACAAAACAGTTCTCCAAGACCATCTTCTAAATACAAAACAAAGACACACCCATTCTCGTATCAATATAACAAAAGATGTATGAAAGCCATCTAGGGCAGCTGCTAGAGTTCTAGTGCAGAATGTGATCTCTCAGGAATATTTCAGGCTAGATTGTGATATCTTCAGTCAAAGAATATATCAGCTGAGCAAAAGTAGGTGCATTGAACATACTGAAAGAATCAACAGGCCCAAACCTTATATCAAGGCTGTGCCAAAGCCACTTGGGAGGTGAAAAGGAAAAAGTGTTACTCCAGCAAAAGGAAAATAACCAGCACGGAAAACTACTGCGGAGGCAACGTAGTTGTTACTGACAAGAGCAGCTGCCCAGGTAAGCTACAACAAAGACGACCTGAGCGAAAGCACAGAAGTGAGAGCAGCTGCCAGGGGAAAGGCGGGATTTGTACCCGAGAGGTGGTGCCCAGAAGTCCGAGAGAAGAGATACCTGCGAGGGTGCCGGAGGGGGGAGGGAGGTGGGCAGTGACAGCCGAGGCCGGGGCGGTGGAAGGAGGCCGAGAGCAGCGCTGAGGGGCGGGGCGGCACCTGGCTGGGATCCCGGGGCGCGGGGGGAGCACCTGGCCGGGATCCCGGAGCGCGGGGGGGCACCTGGGCTCGGGACGGCGGCGTGGAAGGCAGCACTGCCCGGGAGGGGAAGGGGGGCAGAAAGCGCAGAGCGCCCCGGTCCCGCACTCACCTGCGCCGTCTCTCCGCCATCCTCGGCGCGCACCATAGGGGGGGCCGCCACGGCCGCGGGGCGCAGCACGGAGCCCCCGAGCCGCCCGGGCTCCCTCTCTCACAGCCGGGCAGGGACGTAGCGGGGCACCGGCGGCTCAGAACGCCTCCAGCCGGGCAGGGATCCTCCCAGGGCCCGCTGCTGCCCGCGGTGCCCGCAGCGCCCCGGCGGCCGCCCTCAGCCCCGGCCCGGCCCCGGCGCGTCAGGCATGGCTCGGCCTGGCCGCTGCCCGCAAGGACGGGGCGCGCAGCGGCCCCTTTCTCGCCCCTACTGCGCCTCGCTCTCCGATGCTGTCAGAGCTGCCGCGGGCTCCGGCGGCGCCCGCCGCCCTCCTTCCCTCCGTCTCCGGGCCGCTCTGCTCCGCTGCCCTGCCCTGTGGCCGCCCGGCCCCCGCCGCGCACCGGCCGCCGCCACCGCCGCTCGGGCTCAGCTGCCGGCGCTCGCGGCGCGCTCGGCCGGTGCCGCCCGAATCTCGCGCGCAGCCTCCCCCCCGCGAGCCGCCGTTTGAATCTGCGCAGGCGGACTGACGCCCCATTGGCCGCCGCCGACCGCACGCGGCTCCGCGCGCCGGGCGGGAGGGGGCGGGGCCTCGCGCCGGCGGGCGGGCGATGTGACGGGGCCGGGGTGGGGGGAGCGGGGCGGCCCCGTCGCAACGCCCCGCCGCGAGCGCCCGCGAGCCGCCCCCGCGCCCGCGGCAACGGCGGCGGCTCCCGACGGCAAAAGAGTGAGAAGGTAACGGCGGGGCCGCCTCCGCGCGGCAAAACCGAGCATCTCCTTCGAGCCGGAATCGAACCAGCGACCTAAGGATTCCCGCGGGCCGCGCCTCTACAGTCCTCCGCTCTACCAGCTGAGCTATCGAAGGGAGCTGGCCGGTGGTTTTGCTTTTTGGCATAAATCCTTTCTTCCGGGTGCCGCTGGTGATGTTCGTCGTAACTGGAGGTGGAATTCCTTTCCCGAGAGCGGCTGGAGCACGGAGACGCGCTCGGGACGGACACATGGAACTCCGGAACGGAAACACGGAATTGCGAGCGGCCCAAACGCCCGGCGGCGGCTCCCGGCCCCGGGCCCTGCTGCCCGCGGGTCGCTCAGCGCAGGGGGCGCGGCGCTCTCGCCTTCTCACGCTCCCGCGCCGCGGCGAGCTGTCCCGGCGGACGAGGGCAGCGCTTCCCGCTTCCCTCCCTTGCCGAAAAACCCATGTCCTGTCGTTGCTCGCGTGCTTAAGGAGAGGGAAGCGAGGGTCTCATCCATCAGCCAGCCAGCGCTCTTACGGGCTCCTGCTCCAGCCTCGGCACGGGTCTCTTGGGAAGAGGCCGCCCCCAAATAGAATCAGGTTGGAAAAGACCTCTCAGATCATCGAGTCCAACGTACGACAACACCACCGTCAACTGCATCACGGCGCTGAGTGCCAAATCCAGTCCTTCCCTGAATGACCTCCACAGGCGGCGACCACACCACCTCCCTGAGCAGCACATTCCAATGTTTAGTCACCCTTTCCATGAAGAAATTCCTAATGTCTAACCTAAACTTCCCCTGGCACAGCGTTAGACTGGGTTCTCTCATCCTGTCACTAGTTGCCTGGGAGAAGCTGAACCCCACCTGGCCACAGCTTCTTTTCTGGTAGAAACATGGCATCGCATCCTCGTGTGGCTATGCTGATGGACACGTGGACTCCACACAGCTCCTAGGAGAACAAGGTGGGAGCACCTGCTTTAAAGACAGGTGTTGGCAGCTGCACAGTCAAAAAACCCCAGAAAGGGTAGAGACAGCCTTTAAAGGTCCTCAGTCGTGGTGTTCACTTGACACTGGAGCACTCACATCCGTCACAGGGACAAAACATCACTTTTTATTAAATGCAATGTGATTTTTACTTTAGTGGTACAAACAAATCACCAAAACCAGCAGATGGTTTCTTATCCATCATCTTCTTTCCAAATATATTTTTTTCAATAGTTTACTTAAGGAAATTTTCTAACCACCACCACAGAGGTAATGACCTCCTGAAGCTGTCACCATTGTGAAGTAAAAGCTACATTCCAGCACAACCTCTCTGTGTTCTAGGTATTTCCCAACACAAGTATTTAGCTGGAACTATAGAACGATTGGGGTTGGAAGGGACCTTAAAGATCATCAAGTTCCAGCCCCCATGCAATGGGCAGGGACACCTTCCACTGGACGAAGTTGCTCAAAGCCCCATCCAACTTGGCCTGGAACACTTTCAGGGATGGGGCATCCACAACTTCTCCAGGCAACCTGTTCCAGTGCCTTACCACCCTTAGTTAAGGGTGATCATTTTTTCCAAATATCTAATCTAAACCTACTGTCTTTCAGTTTGAATCCATTCCCCTTTGTCCTGTCACTACATGAGATGTTTCAGTTCTGCTTTAAATTGTAATGCTTTAAATTGTATTTAAAAAGAGGTGCTCCACTCCCTTAATCATCTTTGCAGCCCTCTGCTGGACCTGCTGCAGAAGCTCCTTGTCTCTCTCGTCCTGAGGAGCCCAGAACTGCACACATCACTCCAGATGTGGCCCCACCAGTAGAGGAGCAGGATCAGCTCCCTCCACCTGCTGGCAATGCCCTTCCTATTGCACCCCAGAGAACCTTCTTGGGCGCCAGGGCACACAGCTGGCTCATGGGCAGTCTGTTGTCCTCCAGGATGGAATACACACAAGTTATCTGAATAAACTAAGCCATGTGTGGAGTCTGTACATCCCCACAGCACTGGGGCTGTTCCCAGTGCATCCCCAGAGCACTGTCAGTGTTCCCAGTGCATCCCCACAGCACCGGGGCTGTTCCCGGTGCACCCCCACAGCACTGGGGCCGTTCCTGGTTCATTCCCACAGCACCACCAATGTTCCCAGTGCATCCCCACAGCACCGGGGCTGTTCCCACTGCATCCCCACAGCACTGTGGGATCTTCCCGGTGCATCCCCACAGCACTGGGGCCGTTCCTGGTTCATTCCCACAGCACCACCAATGTTCCCAGTGCATCCCCACAGCACCGGGGCTGTTCCCGGTGCATCCCCACAGCACCATGGATGCTCCCGGTGCCTGCGGGCGGGAACGCCGGGCTCGCAGCGCCCCCTGCGCGGGCGCGCAGGAACTACAGGCGGCGGCGCAGCCCCCACGGCACGGGAGGGCAAAATCGCACCAAAATCGCACCAAAATCGCACCAAAATCGCACCAAAATCGCACCAAAATCGCACCGTTACAAGGGCGAACTAGTATCGTTGCATCTTTCACAGAGAAAATTAAGTCCTTGAGGGTTTTATTTGTAGTCTTTGCTAATAGGTCTTCAGCACCAACCTACATTCCCTGTGATGCACTTTTAGTATCCAGAGATGACAACGCAGCAGGTTTCCCCACATCAAAGCTCTGACAGGAGTCTTTGAACTACAAAAGCTGTAATGAAAAAGTAATAAAACCCACCCTGAGACAGGATTTGTGTCATCAGCCTCATACAGTATGAAATGGCATCTTTTAGCACTCATTTATATTTAATTCACAGTGAAAGGAGCCTGAAATAAAAATATTATTGTCTAAATAGGTGCCTTGTATATTCCCATAGTAACACGTGTGTTCCTAATTTGCAGGAAATAGATCCTGAAAGCATTAGCTGAAGCAAAATGCTAAAATAATAAGCACTGATGGCCCTGTTGTTAAAAGGAATAATAGCCTAAAGATGTAGTTTGTTATGACATCCAGTAAGCATTCTCCTTGGAGTACACCAGTAAGCACATACATGCCTCACTTCTTTTTTTTCTTTCTTTTTTTTTTAATCCTGTTTCTGTCCTGTGTGACAAGGTCTAATGTTTGAGGTTTCTTTTGCTCCTACATGATTAAAAAAAAAAAAAAAAAAGTATGGAGATGCATTCCCCTCTCTCTATTTCTTCTTAGTTTCTAATAACTTGACAAAACCAACCCAGACGTCTACTACTCTCTTCAGTGACCTTATAAGAATGTAGGCACAAACAGACACTGTCTCTGTAGCAGGATTTGGATTGTCCCCTCCCATCCCATCTGAGCTGCCATGGCCCACAAGCCACCAGACTCAGTTTCATAGGCTTCTGATAGGACACTCACCAGCCAGCAATATCTGAGTCCCATTGTGCAAGAACTGCTTTCTGCCTTGGTTTGCCCTGCCCAAGACTCCCTTGTGACAAAGGACAGCCCAGTTCCAGCCTGGACCCAAAGACCATGACCAGGTGCTGCTGGTTCAGGGTGTCAGGAGGAGGCAAATCATAGCTCATAGACCTTGAGTCACAGTGACATACTTCCAGTGGCATTTTTTGCCACTTTCCCCTTACCTTAGAACTGTTCTTTGAGTCTCCTGACAAATCAAAACCAAACACTTGAATCAGCAGTTGGCATTTGGATCTTGCTTGGGTTTTGTAGTGTTGCCCAATTACTATGGCAGTGGGCAAGACATTTCCATAGACAGGGACATTTGCTCTTACCCAGATAATTCAAAGGGCAAAGTGCCCTGGAAGAGTGATGGTCCTATCATTTGTTCCATTATTTATTCCTTCCTGTTTAGTTTCCTGCTGATCTACAGGAGGAAAACTTCTATTAGGCATTCATTATGACTTTAACTAACAGCAGATTGTTCCTGCTGGGCAACAGATCTCTCCCTGTGCAACACTGATGCTTCAAAAAATGTCACCAAGCTGCCGTAGTATGAAGGTACCACACTACAAGGTTATATATAAAGTCTATATGTGTACTACTATTTACTGCTCCGATTTAGTGAGAGTTCCATCTATTTCCTGACAAAGCCTTTAGTGAATAAAAAATAGCAGTCATGATCCCACTGCCTATTGCCAAGGAAATGATAGAAAAACTCTGAAGTCACATGCAGAAGTTTGTAATTCTTTGCTGTTATGCACTGGAATCTCATTGTGAATTCAGGCAGCCAATTTAACATTTCTCTGGACAATAAAGCAGTACATGGATGTTCCCTGGGAGGCTCAGGGCTTAACACCACTGACTTGAAGTTAAGAATTATCAGTCTGTCCTA